CGCGGATCCGGGCTGCAGTTTGTCGAGTCAGTGTAGCCACTTTCAGATGACGTCACTTTTAATATATATCATATTATTAAATCAAACTTTGTAGTCTGAATGAGATTAAGCGCCTCAACCGTTTATGTTCTTATTTTCAGAATTTTTACCGTAACCGTTTTTGAGATAGAACGTGCTAAAAACCCAACAAAACGTAAACGGGGCTAGCAGCGACCTGGCATGAAGCGCGCGGCACCGAAATTTTTCGAACGGGGGCAAACTTTGAGCCTCTTGGGGCAGTATAAGAACTCATTAATATCACTTGTTATTGATATAATAATGTAGACCATACCTTACTGCTCATCTGTAAGGGTGTTTCTTTTCTGTTAAATAGTTACATCAATGTGAAAATTGTATTTTTGTAAAACAAACGCTTCGAAAACATATTTCCCGACATGGTTTGAAAAAGAAACACCCACCATTACAACCGTCATTCGTCAATCTATTTAGATACGTCATCACAACCAATTGAAAAACAGTTCTTATACTGCCCCTAAAGCATTTTGTAAACCAATCCCTGTGGGCATTACAGCCTAGAAATAACACGCTGTCAAGTGTTTGCTGATTGGCTGAATCGCGTACGGCGCGTCATATGTTTTCGAACGCGTTCCTAGTGACTAATCCTTGGTAACGACGGCATGGGCACACACTGCTGGCAGACTTCGAGGGTAAGTTTCGTTTTGATTTCGCGTGTTTATTATTTATCTAGAAGCTGTTGCTTTACAATTTTATTACAAATTTATACTGAGATGGAAGCCTTATTGAGTATAGCAATAATTTTGATAATGTAAATGAGTTTGTTGAACGAATACTCGGAATAGACGACTGATAAAGTGATAATTTAATAATTAATATTGAAATGAAAATATGCGACCCCGGCACTGCCCTGGCTAGTACTAAATTATAAACAAAACTAAGAAAACGTAGTTAATTGGCTTTTTAATGCTATAAATGTTTCACATTGAAGGTGTACCTTAGCTGGACAACAGTGTATACGACAATGAAATGTTCTTTTATGCCCTACTCTTGTGCTGCAGCTGTTTCAATGATTGCAGTAATTGTTGGATATTTCGCTGACATCTCAACTAATTTGCTGTTACTTTCAGATACAAGTATTACAACGTCAACGAGAGAAAGAAAGAAAAAGAGTTAGTTATAATGGCTGATGTAAGCAGTAGTATGGCTGATGTAAGCAGTCGTGCTATTAAAATTAATCTGGGATTTTGTGAAAGAATTAAATTAGATGGCGAGACATTGGCAACTGTCAACTCGCCAACATTCATTAGTCAGTATAGCAGATCAGATCTAGTTAAAGGGGTTGCATGGGAAATTTACATTCATAGTGATAGAAACATCAAGACATTTCAGCAGTGGTTAGTGAAGCTCTTCTGTGTAGACATCGAAACTAATGTGCTACGTATTAAAATGAAAAGGTTAGATAGCAAGGTAAGGTCATTCCGAAGACATTGGGACAAATCCGAAAACGAAGCAACAGACTATTTGAAAACAAGTTTTATAGAAGAGTATGGTGAGGGTAGAGATGAACGTAGAACTAGAAGTAGAGATAGTCTAAATTGCTAGTGAAAAGAGAGTGCATTCACTAGAACGTCAGTTGACGGACGTGTGTAAGGTAAATAAAAGGTTGACCGAGACACTGACACGTTCAGAGATAGAGCAAGCAGAAGAGATGAGCAAAGTGTGGAGGGAAAAAATGTGCTTGGAGAGGAGGCTAGAAAGAGTAGTTGAGGAAAAGGAGGCACTGCTAGAAAATTCAAAACTGAGAGATAGTTGCTTTGCACCCAGAAATGTGAATAAGAAATTAGCTAGGAGAGATACCAAGATAGAAGTGCAGTCTGCGAAAATAGTCCGACAAGAGAAAATGCTGAGCGGTGTGGAAGGATGTAGTGATAGAGAAACAAAAGATTCTGTCACATTCGAGGAATTGTTAAAGCATGCAGATGATACTTGTAGTAAGCTAACCAGTAAAATCGAAGAAATAGAGCAATCAAGAGCCAGGCAGTATAGTAAGGTAGCTTACTGGAAGAACCGTGCAGGGCCAAGCAAGGAACCATTCTCAGCACAACATGTCGCATGCTTAGATGAAATTGAACAACTAAAGAAAAGTGTATATGATGCATTAGTTAATAATAATCAGCTTGTATCGTACATTGCACAAATGCAAGGGGAAAAAGAGACAGAGTTCTTCAGTGATGGCAGGTATAATTCAGTCGTCCATGAGGTATACCAGACTCTCGTATCGTTAAACGTTGGCACGCAAAATTGTGAAGCTGTTGTTAGGGTAGTTCTAAATAGGCTAGCCGGTCTAAAGGTAGGGAGACTACCAGCAAAAGATTTTGCAAGAGCTGTAGCTGTAGAGGCAAGAATTCTTTCACAGGCTCAGGTGTTAGAGGCTCTAGAAAATGATGAATTCGCAACATTAGGTGGGGATGGGACTAGTAAGAAGGGTAAACATTATGGGGCATTTGACATTCATACAAGTGAGGGGGCAACATTAAATTTAGGGTTAAGAGATATGGCAGAAGGGGATGCTGGAAGCTACTTTGAAATTTTGCAGGCACTACTGAAGGATTTGGCTAAACTAAAAAGTAATGATGAGGTGGAACAAAATGGATGGGCAAATAAATTGCTAGTAAATATCAAGAACACAATGAATGATAGACACATTGTCAATAAGAAATTAAACAAGATAATCGAGGAGTATAGGGATTCTGTATTACCAGACATAATAGAGGGATACAGTGAAATGACAGAAGATAAAAAAACAGCATGTGCCAAACTTAATCAGTTCTACTGTGGAATGCATCTTATAGTTAATTTTGCAACACAAGCTAATGCAGCCCTAGGTGTTTGGGAACGTTGTGTTTTAGGGGAAAGTTTCAAACTGGTAGGCTGTGCTAGTGTAGGAGCAAGGTCTAAGGCAGGGGAGTCAGGAGCAGGTAGATTGATAAGAACGGCATGTAAGGCAGTGGGACCGCAGGCGTGTGAGAAGTCTGGTAGAGAGCAAGTCTTTAAAACTGAGGTGAGAGCGAAGCTTGGGCATGCAGACATTCCACTAGCACCCTTTAGAGGCAACAGAGTAAACGTTTTGTTCTATAATGGAGGGGGGCTATACCACTTGATAAAAGAACTGAATGAATTCTTCACTAACCATAAAGAAAATAAATTATTACAGGCTGTTGGAGCAGATTTAGGTGTGCCTGCATTTGTATCTGGATGTAGAGCTTTAGGAATTGTGGAGAAATTAATTACCAGCCCCTTATGGAGAAAAATTAGTGTAGTAGATCACATCTATGATATGAATCAAGCTTATCAACAACTTAAGGTGTGCTTAGAGAAGTGGACAAATGATAGCATGGAGCTTGTAGACGGTAGTGCGAAGTTGTTTGGGGAAGATACGTTGATAGAGTGGAATGCAGTGTGCGAGTCCTTGTTTAAACCTTGCGAGCTTGATGAACAGACAAAGCAGGCTCTAGAATTAATCTGTTCCTCGTTATTAGTCATTGTGCAAAGAATGTTAGGAGATCACTTAGAGGGGGGGGTTCATACTAAGCATACAGAGGAAGATAGGATAACAACTAAATCAGTTCCAACAACAAATGTTAGTGTAGAAAGAGATTTTGGCATGTTAGATAGAATTCTAAAAGAAAAGCCAAATGCCACCACAATAGCAATAGAAGGATTAATTATGTACAAAAAAAACAAGACTGGTGAATGGCTTGGCCAGCTAGCAGACGAGAAACGCACGGAGTACATTGAGTGGGCAGCTAGATCAGTGAATGAACAAAGAGTAGAATTTGTTAGGTGGAAGAAAGAGATACAAGAGAGAAGGTTGCAGAAGCGAGCAGAAAAACTAAATGTTGCAATGAATAAACAAAAGCAATGCAGAGCCAGAATAGATAAACTAACTCGAGAGCTGTGTAGTGTGGGTGGGCTTTGGGATACTGAAGAAAAGGCTAGGTGTGAATTAGGGAAATGTACATCTGAGAGAAGCAAGCTGGAAGCACTGCGAATTCAGATCAGGTATCGCAAAGTAGTAATGCAGGCAGAAAATGAAGGTAATAGGCTTAGCCTTTCTAAGAGCTCTAAAAAGTTTAGCGTAGCAGTTTTGACTGAAAACCTGAATGCAGTAATTAGGGAAGCTAATCGAGAGATGGAGGAGGTTTATGGTGAGAGTAGTGTGGCTAGTGGTGTTTCACATGAGGCAGCAGATAAGCAATCAATAGACGAGGCAAAGGAAAAGTATGATGAGGCAGTTAGAAGTTTAACAGAGAAAGAAACTAGTGAGCCAGCAAGAAAACGTGTTAAAGCATGTCTAAATGTGGCAAGTTGCGATCCGAGGGCAATAGTGGGTAGGTACGTAAAGCATTTGTGCAGTGAGCAGGGAAAAGATGAGTGGTTTTCTGGTGTACTAGTAAGGGTTGGTTCAAGGTATGGGATTAGGTATGATGGGTATAAAGAGATATTTATGTGGAATGTGAAGCAGCTACAAGAAGACATGGAGAAGGGAGAGTTACTGGAGATAGAGTTAGAGCCAGAGTATTTAGTTGGTAAGAATATAGAGCATTTATGGATTGAGGAGGATACAGGAGACGAAGTGTGGTACAAGGGAAGAGTTGTGGACCGGGATGGGGATAATTATGTAGTTATTTATGAGGATGAGGATGAGGAGGAGGAGGAAAGTTATGAAGAAGGTCATGAAATGAGTATAAAGGTTGATTTGCTTACTGATTATATGGCTGGAGAGGTTAAACTTATCTAGGTTAGGAATTCATCTAGGACAATTAAAGGTAATCTGTGACCACCTCACCTGAGCAATGTGGTAGCGGTGGTGCAACTACAGTTAAACTTATGTTAATGGACACCTGTATAGAAATGACACATAGCATTTGCAGTAGATGAAGTGGCAGTAAACCTCTCAGTGCACCTTGCTTTGTTTGTTACCAGTGCTAGCTGTCACCATGTAGGCATGATAATAATGTATGTCATTCTAGATTTGTGGGAGCTGGATAGGTTCAACTACAAATGGCCTTCACCAGACCTGAACCTGATATATAGAAATTTCTATCCTACTGACCTAGAGAAAGCTATGAGCCCCACCCCCGTGAGGTCTGTCATAGCGGTGCAAGTCCTTAATGACTCTGAAATTGAAACATGTACGTACCACTATCATTTATTAGTCTGAGATCTAAATTGTAATAAATCATACTTTTTCTAGCAGCTATAAGCCTGTTTCAATTTAAGGCTATGGTCATTTCAGGGCACAACTTGCAACTGGCTAAGAAACACCCATTCATCAAGGCCGTGGTAGGATGGGTCGACCTCACCAACCCAAATGTAGCGTACATGCGTGATGTGAATGGAAAACTCTGTATATACCAGGAGTGGCGTCAGAGGGGGCTAGTCCCCACCACTTATCATAGGTTATAGGACCTATGATAGGTGGTGGGGACCTTCATCAAGACCTTCTATTTGTAGGGATTCTTGATGAGTGGTGCTACACTAGTTGCAGTAACTTATTGAAAACGACCAGCAGGAGAAAGGGCTTATTTATATTTACATGATACATTACAATATATCAGCAACTGTATATATATAAAGTAATTATTTCTTGCTAAAATGCTTAAAAATGAGGTGGGGTGTTGGGAGAATAGGACATGTTCTATTTTCTCAACTCGGTATTGCTGAATTGTATAGGTTTTTGCCATGCGGGCCACTCATAGAACAGCAATCAGGAGGTGTGGCGGCTGTGGCCCCCCCACCCCACCTAGGGTGAGAGCACATTTTTGCTATCGTCGCCACACTGGCGGCATGGAATAAGCCTACATGCAAACATGCGTATTCGCGATGCCCCGCGCACACACTGCTGGTCAAATGTTGAAACGTTTGCTGCCCCGCGGTAGATAACGTAAGAGCTTTGAACATATAGAGAGGTTGGTAGAAAGAAGAAAAACGTCGCCAAAGTTGCCTGCATGAAGTCGATAGTATAAACCCAGCTTAAGCTGGTCTGCGTTAACTGACCTAGTAATATTATCAATGTGAGCGTGATTACCTTCCTCAGGAAGATAGGTCAATTGGCCCACTGTACAGCCGAGATATTCTAATGCATACAGTAAAAACCCGCGTATAAGAACCTGTATTTTTCCAGGTTAGCCTAAAAAGGTTCTTATATAATTGGTGTGTACTGGGAAATTAGGCTATTTAGGTTCTTAAATAGGTTCTTATTCTCTTTATAAAAAAAGGTGCTTATGGCTGGTAGAATATTGGTGTGGTCCATTGTTTATACAAAATATTCATATAATTATATCTAAATGACTGCAATCTAGACAAATACAAACCCTATTCTACGTTCTTATTTCTTTTTATGCCCTTTATACCTAATAGAGGTATATAGACCACCAAGAACTTGTTTTAGTTGATTTATGAATTTTAAAGTGTTAACTGAATTTTATCAAATAAGAACCTGTTTCAAATTTTAGGCTACAACAGGTTCTTATGTCAAGGGGCTCTAAATGGAAAATCTTAGCCTAACAGGTTCTTAGGTTCTTCACTAGGTCCTTCTAGGTTCTTCTTAGGTTCACAGGTCCTTCACTAGGTTCTTGTACGCGGGTTTTTACTGTAGTATTTCTCACGTTTTTCATGTATTTTGTACAGGTCGAGCAGAATTTAGTTACACTGGCCGAGAATCCGCTGTTCGTTGGTGTAAGAGATATTCTCGATGAGCACGAAGATAATTGGATGCTGAGTGGTGATGTCCAAAGAGCACTCCATGTTCTTGATAAGCTTCAGCTGACCTTTGACCTGCTTGTGAGGTACTGATATATGATTATTCTGTCTATAGAGAATAAGTGGCAAGTTGTAGATTAAATATAATGTTAATCAATTGAATTTTGGTTCGATTTGTGTGAGCAAATTATTTTATACTGTTTTTAATTGTAACTCGAATGTGGCATTTTCATATTTTATGTGACATATGGAATAAGAGGAACGAAAGATTTATTTTGGAAAGGTATCTTCTGTCCAATGATTTTCCTGTACTAGTAATTGTAAAATGCATGTTCTAATGTGTTTTTTAATATTGTGCTTTTAAATCCCTAGGCCACGTCACTTAAAGTATGCTTTGCAGCTGGTGGAAAACTTCCCAGGGTAAGTGAATATAAAATGTTAGTTGCTCCTAATAATTCAAGTTTATGTTTTCTTCATCCACATACAATTTGTAATAAATCGCAGTAAAACCCACGATAATAATAGATCAAAATATGAGTAAATTTCAAAGCTTCAATGAAAATAAACTAAAACAGAAAAACATGTATAATTCCTTGGTTAACGGTTCTTAAGATACATATATTCAATTTTGTTCCTGCTGTATAAATATATAGGCAAGTATAAGTGAACCTTAAAACTGCAAATTGTATATGGTGGCATGTTCTACACAGGAAGGCCCTTTTGAACAATTCTGATTAGCGTGCAGTTAACTGTCTGTAGGATGGAAGTTTTGCACAGATGTTAAAAAAACTACAGTATACGCATTGCAAATGTATACTCAGCAGCATAGCTAACTCATTTTGCCGAAGTGGGCAAATCCATGTGTGTGTCGTGTTCTAGGAAGGTGACTACCATTGACCATGTAATGTATCTACATTTCTCTGGGGGCAACGCCCCTCCCCCGGTTAGCTAGGACCCTGATACCCACTCTCGTTTTGCACACAAAACCTAATGTCAACTTCAGAATGCTTAAATGAATTGTGACATCACTTCATACTTATGTTTAAAAAAAAGCGTTCCCAGTAAATAAAAGATTGATACCGAATGCCTGGACTGGGCTAAGCAAATTCATAATGGCAAAGGGCAAAAACTCAGCTGAGTTATGATGACAAGGGAGAGACGCAGATCCCAGTCAACATACATAGTGTGATGCGGTAGATCTAAGACGAGAGTTATCTGGATGACTACAAGAGAATTTACACTCATGTTATTTACATTTATTAGGCTTACATTTTGTTTGCTTTTTACAAAATCTAGAGCAACTGCATGCCTCCCTTGTACTGCCCAAAAGAATATGGCCCTGCCTAGAAATTTCTCAACACTGTGACTCCAACTGCCCAACACTCTGTTAACGTTCATTTCAGATTGAAAATCGTTGTTGATCATATTGCCAAACCACTGATAAAAGAGCGAGTTTTTAAAGGATGGGAAGAAGATATGGCTGAATTGGCCAAACATTCGAATGTCTTCTGCAAACTGTGAGTACGCTCGCAATGCATTATGGAATAGACTATATCAATGTGTTTGTTATTAGTTTTATTATGTGTTTGTGACAGGGGGTTCAACTTGACGTATTAACATGGTTCGCACAGTCCTTGAAAAGTCCTTGAATTTAACGGGAGTCCTTGAAAAGTACTTTAAATTTAGTATAATGTTGAATTTGGGCTTGAAACAAGTGCCTCGATTTCATGAAGAAGTGTCCTTGAATTTTTCAGAAAGAATCCTTTGCCATACGTAATAAAAGAAATTTAGTGATACATCAATTAATGTGCAAACCTCAATAAAAATTATGCATTAAATGAGCTCTAAAAAAGCTATAGACGACATAGAAAGTTAAATGATGTTCACAAAATTCAGCAGTACACAAGTTCAAGTAAAATCAGTCAAGTAAATCAAGTATGTTGTAGAAGTACGTTGCAGTGATTAAGAATGGGTTATTAATTATCCCAGTATGTTTTTTGTACTGTGTATGATATCCAATAAATATGATTGATAAGAAGTTGTCCTTGACATTTCCGATAAAATGGTCTTGTGAAAAGTCCTTGGAAAAATTTCAGTCCCTTGTCATGAACGAATGTATTAGAATGCAGCTAATAGTAGAACGTCAAAATCAATTCCAGCCACGCGTGTGCTTCAATATTAAACCGGAACAATCTGCAGCTTTAACTACCAGAAGGGCTAGGTATCAACCAAAGTAGTGGAGAGTGAAAGGTATTGAGCACGCACGAGCAGTATAGTACATTGATCCATTGGCGAGTGAAGGCAGCAGCAGCAAGCAGAGCAACAGGCCTATAGGAAGCATTTGGCTTTGCTCTGCAGAGTATCGGTCTAAATTAAAGGACATATGCGTTTTTTAGAAATCTGGTATTTGTGAATAGATGCAGACCACTACAGACATTGGAAAAAAAGCGACAGACTTTAAAGCCTCTACATAAATGTAAATGATCCAATGTGACTATTAGTTATTTTACTGAAGCTCAGTGTAATGTGAATTGCCAACATATAACCATGGTATCATTTTTCGCTTGTGTATTTTCTTTTAGTTATCCTCTGAGTTCGCCACAATAATATTTTGGAATGTCACTTTCTTATTTCAGTTGAGCACGGATTTTACCATGTAAGACAGAATTCACTGTACTAAACACGATTATTTACTCCGTTTTATTTATGGTATAATTTTGCATCGCTGATGGTAAATAATTCTTTACATAACATTACCCGTGTGAATTCAGAGTAAAAATGCTTATATTAATTATCTGTTGTAGCATATCGTCTTCATGCTTTGGCCCTCATCGTGTGCATGTTTGCAGTTCTAGTATTAGGCCCGTCTTGCATAGGCAGTCTGAGAATGCATCGTATGCGATGCTTTAAACAACACATTGAAGAGGTATGTCTGACGCAATTCTACAGAATGGGACCAGGCGACGGATATAATTTGGGCAGAATGCTGCTGAAATTTCTTACTCTGATTGACAAAACAATTGTTGAAGAAACTGTTAGAATTGGTTACATCTGCACGTTGAAAAATATGTAAACTGAGAACTGTTGATTCATCTTCAACACAGAACCAGAGGAGGCATATCAATTTAGTTGATTACCTGCTCTGGTGAACACTAACAATATGTATAGATAGCAGCAAAATGTGTTACTTGCACGTATAACTGTGTGCAGACTTCAGGTATTGTAATGTGCATGTGAAAACAAAACAAGAACAATATTGGACCTTAGAGAATGCCAATAGTTGCCTGCATGATCAAGCTGGTACCTAACATAAATACTTCTCGCCACTAATAGTCCCCACACGCGAGAGGCCAAATTAGTGTTGGCCTATATAGTTATGAGAAATTGTGTCGTATCTGAGAAAATACGTAACCAGTAGTAAAACACAGAATGTTATCTTTTAAAAAACCTGCCGAAACTTTGCAAACCCCCTTATCAAATGTCTGAGGAGAGTCACTGGGATTTATGCACGAATTTGTCATGAACATAAATTGTCTGAGTGGGCAGATATTTCTATTCTATTCTCTCCGGAAGTTCCAGGTGCAGGATGGGGGATGCATCGTTATTTATAGTTTCTAACCGTTTATCAACTAGGTTTATTAAAATACGATTATGTTAGATTCCTGGGCATACATGGGGACTAGTAATGGGGGAGTAATAAATTATTCCTCGGGTCTCTTTGCTGTCATTTTTCTTGCTTTAGAGTCAGCAATATAATGTAACTTTCATCCTGGATTTAATGACTAGACAATCACATTTAGTGCATGGGAGTTGGCTATCGGTAGGAGTTTGTGAATCGTAGAAGAGCAATCGAGGATATACATGGTTTTCGAGTCCACCAAAACTGATATTCCCTCAGAAACAATGGCAATGAGTTGGGGTAGATATAGGAAATAGGTAACGGCCAATAGTCCAATATACGCGTTCACACGGTAGGCAAACAAAGGCGGTATTTAGCGTCACACGGAGGCTAAAAGTGCCCGCGGAATCCACAAATACGGAAATCTAGAATAGATTCGTATTGTTTGGAAAATACGCTCATCTTACGCAGAGTGTCGAATTACTTCATCGTGGCTTGAGAAATTCGATCCGGTTGGACGGTGTATTTTGCTCGTGTGGTGAACGCTAAATGCCGATATTTCTGAAGCGCGTATTTCTATAGACTGGGTCCTGCGGGCATCGGACAGTTACAAGCTGCGTAATTGCGGAGTATGTCGGGCCCGGGGACCAGTCTAACCAGTCATTATTATTCAGTGCTGCTGCAGGCTGGATTGTTTCGCTTTGACGGCACATTGTTTTTTTTTTTCAGTGTACGAAAGAGCACGCTCGCAGAGGCTCGCAAATAGCATTTCTGAGCCGGGCCCGAAACAGCGTCTAGTGGAACGTCGGTTCGCGGATTTGGGGTGCCAGACTCGGGATTGGCAAATACGAATTTCTTAAATACGGCGAGGAGTTCGTCCGTGAACGCAGCTATAATGAGAAGAATTAATATAGTTTGTGCTCTATAGTTGAGCTAGGACTTAAAATGTAATTTAACGTCATATGTTGCTTATTACTGGAACAACTTTTCTCGTTGAGGTGGAAGATTACCGCGGTTTTAAACAGTATTTTCAGTGAACATCAGGACCGAAGAGTAAATAAAAAGCGAGAGCGGTTTTTTAGCTTGTATAAATAAAATTTTTCGCCCGAAGGAGTTTGATCGTATACTTTTATATTCGGATTTGCGTTTTAAACTTTATCGGAAAGATGCGCGCGAGGAGGTAACGCGCGGGGGATGCTTTCATAGAGTACCGTGATTTTAGGGATTTCGTTAGTGTAGCTTCGTGTAAGCGCGCGTTGCAGTGTGAGTCAGCAGGCTTGTAGTTGGGTTTTGTGTCGTGTTCATCGAATGTACACACGCTCGATCCAGAAGTTATTATCGGATAAATAGTCTATACAGATCCTTTACTACACAACACAGTTGCCGCGTTTCTTTCACTTATCTTCTGACCGCTGCCAGATTCACTTACGGACGAGTGGGGCCTTCGAAGCCGGGATCCCACCAGCGAATCATTAAGGAGTCGAGTGGAACACGAGTGGAAATAACTCATAACCCGAAGAATAAGAATGGAGCATAATAAGTGTGAGGTGGAGATGGATGACGGAGGAGAGCATGAGGACCAAGTTTACTAAAACAAGACACATGAGGGTAAAACGTTGAAAAGTCCAAAGAGAGGAAAAAAATAGATTTAAAAATGCAGGAAAGGATGGACCAAGTTACCTAGCCGTACAAGACGGGGAATTCTGTTGTTCCTGCGATTAAGAACACTGTTGACACAGAACGAAACAGAATTACGCAACGCACAGCAGAACTGTAGGAACACTGCAAAGCCCTACGTTTAGGCCCGAGTACATCCAGTGAAAATGTAATAGAAACAGGTACTTTTTGGTGGACAATCAAACTGGAATTCAGTTTGAGTTAAAGACGAGCAGAATTCAAACAATAGAAGCAAAGTTCAGTATTTGACTAGGACATGCATCAACAGCCTGAGCGCTACTATTCGACATTTAGAGAGATTTAAACAGGACTACTCACAATATTAAGATGTTTTTATCCCATTTAACAGGCAACTGGCATTGTGGGCCCTTGGTTTTAAGATTTACAACTTCCTTCGGTCAATACTGCGGAGGTGTCAAAAAAACCATTCGAGGGTTTCCTACTTGAAGCGAGGATCAAGGAGTATAGAAGCAGCATAAACGGCGACTGAAGGAGGAGATACGAGGCCGGAAGACGGCAATACTTCTGCGCCCAGCATTAACGTATTACGACAGTTACATGGTCCCGACAAGCGGACTACACAGCACGGAGATGAATTCCCAAGAAAAGTTTTAGAGCTCTGGCAGTATCCCTCGAGACCGCCAGTAGGTCGCCACTGAGAAGGCTATGCAGAATGTACAGGTATGTTTCTCAATTGGCCGTGTCAAAAACTCGAAATTCAGCACAGTCTTCAGATATGACACTATCAAAGTGGCTCCAGTATCGGAACGGAACGCATCTTGAGAACCGTACACGCACAAATCAAATGAGATGATTTGAGGTGTATCGCAGTGAGTCTAGCGAAGAGGACAAAATCAAGTATACAACGACAACGCGATCTGCCAAGAAAAATTGATTTTTAAGCGCGCCGGACTGGCAGGGAAGGCGAGCCACCATCAATGCGACTGTCGGCTGTCGAAGATCGCCGCATAGATTGTTTGCCAGCAGGAAGTTCAGATGGCATGACTAGATCTGGAACAACGTGGAATGCAGGCCAAAACAGAATCGCTTGTGTTTTTGGTCTTAGTATGCCCATCGTTGAGAAGTGGAGCGATATGTCGGGAATAGTCGGAGGTTGTATCAAGTTCCCACACGTTTATGACTGCGGCGGGGGGAAAAAGAAATAGATAGACTCTCTGCATGGGGAGAGGTGTCAAAACAACTCTGAAGCTAGTCGGGGCGTCTAAAAACGAGTCGCACTACAATAAGGGCCCCTGGCAGAGTGGCTTAGAGGAAGTTCCTAACAAATAACAGCGCAATCGTGTACATGCAGAATGTCAGTACCGTGCGGGGACAACGAGTGGGCGAGTTAGACACCGGTCAGACGTACCGGACGGGGGATTGGACGGTGACGGGTGTAGAGGGGCAGCCTGTTTTCGACGGGCAGGCCGCCGGAACAGACCTCGCCGACCTCGAACAGGGCCGAATGTGTCAAACGGACACTCTAGTTAGCGGGTTAATGGACAGGCTCGGAAGAAATGGTCAGGAGGGGGAGCTGCGAAGCGGTCCTCAACTGAGGACTCGTCTCCCGGAGCGTCCCTTGTAACAGCTTAGCGGAGCCAGTAAATCAGAAGACCTTAAGGCGCGTAGGCACCGGCACCAGATTGAAAGAAGATGCAGATCTTGAGTGTGG